TTCAACTGGTTTGTTATATGTGCATACAAGGCATATGGAATCTCCTTGTGCCTGTAATATTTAAACATTGGAGTCGAATGTGGTATAAACTCAGCAAGCACAGATTCACTAACACATGTATACACCTTGAACCATCAACACAAAGCGGAGGAAAGAAAAGGGTTAGTGATCTTAAACATGTTGAAGAAATGACAGATTAAAGCCGCAAATAATGAAGAAGAGACTACTGTAAAGCAATTCAGCTATGGAGAGTAAATATTCATGTATGAAGAAAGCTGAAGAAGGAACAAGAAAAATGTCTACCACGAACCATGATAAAATGAATAATTAAATACAACATTTTCTAACAAATAGATGGTTCAGAACATTCATGTGCTCTAGGCACATCCAAACAAACGTAAAAAGGTTCCAAGGACTTTCCCTTTGGAAATCACATAAAATGAGAGATGAAGAAACCAATATTAGATTAAGTTTTTGTTCAATAAACATATGCATTCAACTCCCTAGCACCAAAAGGGAAAGTACCATACACTTCCATGGCAGCAAGATGACGACAAATAGATTCAACTTGGACATGGAAGATGGCTATAATTATATTTCTAAACATCCTAGACATCAACAAAAGAAAAGGTTTTTTTTATCTTTAATAGGACCAGAGAAATAGAGTCTAGAGTTCTACTTTGAGGAATCAACTATATTTGGTAACCCTAATACAATGCTACAGTAATTCAAGAACTAAAACAGTTTATCAATTATAGACCCTGTAATGTTTACCTTTCAAGTCAAACATATAAGCACTAACGAGTTTTGTTGGTTTACCACTACTCTCAAAAGCTTGAGCTTTTAGAAATGGGCCACTAACTGTTCCACATTCTAGCACTTCTCTAACATATGGACCTCTCTCCACCACCACAGGGTCCCATAATTATACATGTATTAGGGGGTTACAATTGCATGAATCCAAATTTAGGATCTCTTAACTTGATACTATGTAAAGTTTTTTAGTCTACCATTGCCACTAAAAGCTTTGAAGAACAAAAAAGGGGTGAGGAAGAAGGAAAATAGGAGAGGAAACATGAGAGATTTTCCTCAAATGAACAGAATCAACCTTTGAATTCATCAGGGCCTCAAGTTCATCAATTATTTTCCAATAGAATGACTCTGACTTTCCACCTATATCCAAAAATATATATTTTCATGAAAAACAGAATAAAAAGGATAAGCATTTAATAATATGGTAGATATAAATTATATAAAATACTTTCAAGGCAATATACCTTTTGACTTTATGGGGGAAGCAGTCATTCCAAATATTCTTGGAAGTTCAGCTGCATCAGAATGTAGTTGACGATGAAAGAAGTCCTGCACATCAGCCAAATCCTTCAAGCATTAAAGCATGCACTGTAAACGGAACAATATCATGAAGAAGAATCAACACAAATAGGGAACAGTACTTTCAGTTAGTTTTTTTGCATTGCTAGTGTGACGTCACATTGCCACAGAACAAATACTAAGAACTAATCAATGTTCAACCAGGTTTCCCATGACGATATCATAAATATTTTGGCAATGAACAAAAAGTTAACAAATAAATGATAGACAGCTCACCTTCATTATGCAAGCATATGGGTGGTTACCCCTCGCATGATGGCATTCATCGAGAATCAAAACCTTTATCATGCTTAGTTTGAAGAAGCTATGCCTCAAATTACTAAGCAGTATTGCAGGAGTCATCACGAGCACCTACAGTTATAAAGCTGAAAGTTAAAGAACATATTGTTTGGCATATGTTAACAAATATCACACAATTCTCTACTCTTGATCCACGAAAATACTAAACACCCATTTGACAGAGGAAAAACTGAAACTTTGAAGCACTGATCATGTCTCTTGGTAATTTGGGAAGCTTGTTTACCAACTGCTTCACAGTAACTGTCATTGGCTGTTTTTAATCAGGCATTTTAGACATTTAAGAAACATGTTCAAGCCACTTTTAAAAGATTTTTTTGACTTCTATATTCCTTTTAGAAAACATCAGATGGCTTTTGGTCATCAAACAGTTTTCAAATAACACAATTTGAAAATCAGAAAATATGAAACAAATCAAAGCAGCCAAAAACATGATGTTCAAAACTAAGATCACATGAAATGTCCAAATGAGCTGAGTAAATACGGCAGCTTCTAAGATAAAATAACATAAGACATTTGCAAATATATGTTATATACGTATGAAAGAAAAAGTCAAAACTCCCACCTCATATTTTTCTATTTGCTGCTTCCACATATCAGCTTCCCAGAAGTCAACTCCCATGTCTCCCCAATACATTCCCACATTCAAGTCAGTGTGTATTTTCACAGCTTCAGCTTGCTAATATTGTAAGACACAGCAAGAATAAGAGGAATATAGAACCTTAGCTTTAAGCCTTTCGCAGATATATCTAAGGATCCCAAAAATCTATTATCCGTGATATAGCAGGAATAGGAAATGTAGAGATTCTTTACTTTAGTCTAAATAACTACCCTAGAACAAGTACATTTTTCAATTTTCAGCTCTTAGTGAAAAATGCCAAAAGTGATATCAACAATTCACAGAATACTTGCATAAATATGACAATATCTAACTTATAAATGTCAGGTGTGAGTGCCCAAAACACACAAACACACAGGGACAGAGAGTTGTAAATTGCATACTTGTTTGACCAAGACAACTTGAGGAACCAAGAAGACGGCAACAAATGGAGAAGGCTTGCGAAGCATATATGCATAGCTCCGGAGAAGCATGATGGCAATCAGAGTCTTTCCAGAGCCAGTCTCCAAGAACACTATTGTGTTCTGCTTAATTGCTGCCTCTAATGCTTCTAGCTGGTAACTGTAAGCAATAAGAAATATAGAAATTTTAAAATTGAAGGAAAATAAAAAAATGCAGGACTCATAAATTCATTAACCCTTCCTTTAGAAAGAAAACTCGTTCTTTTGGTTTCCTTCCGGATTAACCAAACAAACAAGAAGCAAACTGAGGGCAATCACAATCTATATATGAATTGAATGAAATTTTAATTTCTTAACGAATAAAGAAAGCATCCATTCTCCTCATCCTGCTCCTTTTCCTTCATTTTCTCACCAACCAAACAATTAAAAGAAAAGGAGGAAAAAATAAAAATCAACCTTCTGGCGAATGGGAGAGGATCAGCAGATAGTTGGGTTCCGTCCATCTCCATGTCAACTGGTTCCGTAGCTTCTGCCGACATCATTTCACTGAAATTCCAAAAAAAAAAAACACAAAGGCATTTGTTTAGAGACTCTCACTTTCTCTGTATCTCACGGACACTTACGAGTAACTAAAACATAAATGAAAAGCCAAAAAAATCAAGAAAGCAATTGAAAAGAAACAGCAATGTAGGGAAGGCTAAGGCCAAAGCCATGGCAGAAGAAGGGAGGCTCGGGCACTCACCTCACACTCACAGAAAGTGATCCAAGCAGAGGCTGAGAATGATGTAAGAGTTGAGTAAGATAGAGTGTGTGTGTGTATGTTGTGCTGTGTTGGAAATGTAAATAAAGAAGAAGAAGCTGATTCTGAGGGACTGGAAGGAAAGCAAAGTATCTGTATGAGATTTATGGGGGAGGGGGATTAATTACATCAGAATTTAATAAAGTGAAGGAATGATTCACTTTCCCTCCTATTTTCCCATGTGCTAGGCAACGCTTTTCCATGCCTGACTTACCAAACATGGGAAAGCAATTGGTTTCCCATCCCCAAGATTCCTTTCCCATGAACCAAACGCAGCCTAATAGTAATACGATATGATATCATGTACGTAGTTGAACAATTCATAATTACATTTTTTATCCAACAATTATTGGTATTTTTTTATTACTTTAATAGGGATACAATTGGGAAACTAAACAAAATTTGTTTTTCATTCCTACTCAAAACAAATATGGGAAAGGAATTATCATTTCCCATCCTTTGGAAAATGACATGGGTAATGATTTCCCATCAAATTCATTCCGTGAACCAAACGAGATGGGGGAGGGGGATTAATTACATAAGAATTTAATAAAGTGAAGAGGGAAGAGCCCGTGATGATGCTAAGTCACCTACCTTCGACAACTTACTGAGGAAGCAGCCCCCCTCCCTCCTGTAACTTCATCCTCATTCAAATATAAAGTTAAAGAGAGAGAGAGAGAGAGAGAGAGCGAGAGAGTTCCTTGGGTTCTTTCCTCCTTTCTTCCTAAATTCTCTCCCTTCTAGGGGAAGGGGGAAGGACTTTGTGGGTCCCTCCCTTGGTTAAGAAGGGTGATGTATGATGTGTTTGATTTACTAAGTCCTTAATAGTAATACGATATGATATCATGTACGTAGTTGCTTTGAAATTACAACATTGTCACTCGTCAAGACCTCTTCTTGCTTTGAAATTACAACATTGTCACTTCTCTTTTTGGGGGGGGTAATAGGAGGAGGGGCAAAAACCCAGCAACAGAGAGGCTACGAAAGGAGAAGGCGAGGTCTGGAGGTGCCATTGGCATCAGCAGCCAGAGTGTCAATAAGAAACGTCGGGGGCAGATCAAAAGTATGAATGCCACGGGCCAAATCAGCACTCTTCGCAGCCAAGGCATCCGCAGCAGTATTCATCTCTCGATAGATATGATGGACAGCGCAGCTCCAATAACCATGAATCTTTAATTTGCAGCAATTGATGATATTAGAGAGGGGATGGTTGGTGTTACTTACCCAAGAGAAGAGGCTTTGAAATTTTGTTTGAGTGATATCTTTTTGTTTTTTGTTACTTTATACTTCAAAAGAAAGCTTTCTTATGCTTTTTGATTTTCCTTCTTGGTGTTATTCATGCTTGATTTGTCCCCGACATATCTTTTATTTTATTTCTCGTGGTTTGTTTGTAGCCCAACACTGTTCATATTTTTACCACCCCACCCCCAATACACACAACAAAGACCCAATGCAAAAGAAAGGTACAACATATCTTTTGAAATCAATGGGCTTTCAGAAGCACGCAACTATTTCTTAAATGGTGGGTAAATTTAACAAGACCACATTGTCTACCTCCTCCTGATCCAAGACAAGATTCATTTATACAATACAATACAATTCAAAGCATGTTATGTGCCAACCCAAATCTTATATGCTGAATTTTCATAACTAGCTAGTAGGAGTAAGGAGTAGCTACACCTACACTACACCTGCAGCAGTCACCTTCATACTGTATTTGTGTTTGAGGTAAGCTTTAATGTAAGGCTCTAAATCACCATCCATTACACTAGTGATATCCGACGTCTCGTATCCTGTCCTTACATCCTTCACCAGTTTATACGGATGGAACACATAATTTCTTATTTGTTGGCCCCATTCCGCCTTCACTACATCTCCTCGTATTTGCTTAATCTCTGATGCCCTTTGTTCCTCAGCTATCACTAACAGCTTCGCTTTCAACCTGCTTAGAGCCTTTATTTTGTTTGCAAGCTGGGATCTCTCTTCTGCATTGTAGTCAAAGAAGAAATAGAGGTCATGCGGTTGTGTTTTCAATCAGATGAACTATAATACAAAGTTAATAACTGAACAAGTGGATGGTTAATGGTGAAAACTAAAAACAAACTATGGGGCTAAGGGAACCTGTGCAGCGAACAGTAACACCAGTGGGGATGTGAGTAATCCGGACAGCACTTTCAACTTTGTTCACATTCTGCCCTCCTTTCCCGCCTGCCCTTGAAAAACTTATTTCCAGGTCCTCTTCAGGTAAATCAACTTTCAACGACTCCTCAGGTAGAAGAGGCATGACGTCAATACCAGAGAAGCTTGTCTGCACGTAACTTCAAGTTAGAACATACAATAGGATATATGCGGCAACTCCACCCCCCTCCCCTAACACCCCACACACCCTCAAATGTATGTGTGTGAATATACACCTGGCAAAGACCTCTGGCATTATATGTTTAATAATTTATAGTTTACAAGATAGATACCTGGCGAAGACCTTTGGCATTAAAAGGGGACTGCCTCACAATGCGGTGTGTTCCTTTCTCCCCAGACAAATAACCATAAGCATAACGACCTTCAACTTCAATTGTCGCTGACTTAATTCCAGCTTCCTCTCCTTGGGACTTCTCAACTACTCGTGTCTTGTATCTCTGCTTTTCTCCCCACCTCACATACATCCTGAGTAACATTTCAGCCCAATCCTGCACTGAAAATTATCAAAGGTTTACAAGAAAAACATAAGCATATAACTGAGAAAAGGTTTGTGAACTAACCTGGACATGTTATAACTTATAAATAACACATAATCGTAAAAATACGCACATGGTTGATCCATCAATTTTTGGGCTATATCTAATGTGTTGAGGCTTTTACCTTATATACTTCTCATGTGTTAAGTCCTTCAGTGGTCAGGATATTCACATAAAAATCAGATAATGACTACTCAGAAAAAATAATCAGCTAACAGAATGGAACCCTTAGTAAATTGGAAGGAAAAAAAACAACCACAAAGCACATAATGGCGCTTTAGATTTCATTAAAGCCCTAAAGAGGAATACAAGAAAGATCCTATGGGAGTTAAATTTTGGTTTTGATAGAAATGGAACTAGAAGAAACAAGGGTGTGGCGCTATCAAGGCTAAACATTAACATGGGGACATGGCCTGTAAGTAACCATATGAAAATGAACTTCCTCTAACTTTACCACCACCATCAAAGGACCAAGCAGAAGTCCAGCCAAAGAAATGAATAGTGGATGCCAATTCAGTCATTGCTAAAATAGCTTAACTAGCCCCATGCAGTATTCTCAGCAGTAGTAACATACTGCGGTAAACTACTTCTGGTCAGCTATGAAACAGATAGCTGCCTTTTATATTTCTGAAAGAATTTCATTTATGAACAATGCAATATTCTTGGTCGAAATGGTAAACTCACCACCTATATATGCATCTCGCAGAATGTAACATTTCCATTAAAGTAATATAACCCAGAGAACTTGTTGCTCTTGCTTTTTATTGTTCTAATTACCTGTGCATCAGTTCCTCCAGCACCAGCTGTAATAAAGATGACAGCACCTTCTTTGTCATAAGGTCCAGAAAGAAGTTGAGTTAACTCAAACCGATCCAGTCCCTTGTTCAATTCCTTGATGATACTGGCAGCCTCTTCAAGAAGTCCATTATCTACAGAGTCCATCTCTTCAGTTAGCTTGACTATTGTTTCTGCATCTTCAACCTGCATCCAATGTATTTTATCCACAATGCAATTTAAGAGGAGGTCACTTTCTGATATTCATTATCTGCAAATGAGTAAATATATGTAGAGTAAATTAGTAATGATCTCCTACTAGATAGTCTGACATTTTACTGTCTGGCAAGAGAGCATTACTATAAAATGTCACCAAAATACTATAAAATGTCATCATATTAAAACACTTCATAAATAATTATCGTCATATCACACTTCAAGCATACTCTTATTATCCTGAAAAACAACCATGACGCCATGGCACCCCAAAAAAAAAATTGATGCAAAAACAATATTCTAAACGAAATTTGTGCACTGACCTGTGATTTGAACTCATTCAGCAATCTTATCCTGTCTTTAACATCAGTCAGGGCCGAAAGGTTTTCTTGAGCTTTAGCTCGGTCATCCCAAAAGGAGCTATCAGCTGCTTTCAACTCCAAATCTGCAACTTCTTGTTCTAACTGTTGCAGACAGGCAGAGTCTCTTATCTCTTTAACACGTGCCGCCGTGGTTTCAACATCTCTTCTTAAGAAATAAAAATCTGTGACAGATAAGATGAAATTATGACATTGTATGATTGATGTGAAGATGCAAGTAGTAAAGTCCTTACACCAAACTCCTGATTGCAAGCCACAGTTTGCGTTTAAAGAAAAATAAATAACAGCTTATGCATGATATACATGCTCCAAAATGGTAAGACAACACTGCAACTTAAGTTTGAAATTCATGCTCCAAAATATGCAGACAGGATAAGTATGCCAAATAAACACCACGTTCCTTGATTTTCAATACTCAAAACCAAGTGTGCCCACACACACAGAGAGTTCAGGGCATTTAGGCATTGTCAACCGAAGAGAAAAGGAGATTAACCTCTCATTGCTCAAGCATGCTCTAATTCAATATCAAACTAAAATTCTCCAAACAGACCTTGCATTGCCCATTCTCTTGTGTCGGTGTTGAGCCCCGTGCTTACTTGACTCTCCGGTGTCCCAAGTAAAACTGAGTCAAATCAAACATCAACTGTAAAACAACTTGAACAATCCGAAATTGAAAATTTGAAGAATCAAAATTATCTACAATAACCATTATAATCATATGGATAAACCAATGAAAAGCCAGCAAGGAAAGTAATAAAATATATAAAACCAATGAAGCTCCTGCGGGCACATATAATCTCACACAATCACAAAATAGAAAAATAGAACAAACGCAATATACTCTCGCATAAGTTCCGCCATATAGCTCCAAATGGAAACACAGAGAAAGCAAAACCGATTAACACAAGACAAGTACGTAAACTGAAAAGCTCAAACTAACGCACCAGTAGGAGGAAATCGACAAGAGCTTGAAAGCTTTGTAGAGACAGTGTGCCAAAAACGAGAAGTATACGAAGTGGGCCTTTGTAGTAACTGTGGTAGTTTGCGATTTGAAGGCTTGGGGCATAAGATGGCTGTTGGGCTGCAGAGAGGTCTCAGATGAGCCTCCATCGCTGCGGCTTCGGCTTCAACTTTGATTAGGGAATAGGTGATAGAAGTTCAAATCCTGGAGGAAAAAAAAACAGACGAACCGAAATTTGTATTAAATAAATAAATAAAAACTGTAGAAATGTTTGTCTGCTATGGATAACAAAGAAAGTCGTCCTACCTTGTGTGGTGTTTGGGTTTGTATCGAGTACCCACGGGTTAAGGGCAAAATCTAACCATTTTATTATGTAAGTAATAGTGTGTTATAACTTATAATCGTGACATCTTCAAGTCCACCATTTAGGGCTCGTTTGGGAGTGATTGTGGATATACCAATAATTACTCCTTCATTTAATCACTTTAGTAATTTTAAGCAATTTTATGAAGAAGCACCTCTACTTCTATGGAGAATCACTTTTTATGTCGTTCTCCCCATAATCGCTTAGAATCACTTAAAGTGGTTACAGTTTGGCATTGATGTGCTATGAAAATAATCATTGTCAAATTTGCTGTGACTGAAAGTTGTTTGGCATTTGGTAAACTTTTTGTCAAAAATGATATTGGTATAATAATCAGTTTATGAGTATTTGGTAAATTTTTGTGTGAAAGTATTGTGAGCTTTGTATAATGACTAAACAGGATATGAAGTTGAAATTATTTTTGTTATTTAAGTGTTTTGTGATATTAAAAAGAAAAATCAAGCTCACTTTTATTTTTGCCAAAACAGTCTCACTTTCAACTATACAAATATTTTATTAAATATTTTTGTTGAGAGAGATACCCTAAAACAATAACATTTTTTAAAACAGTAAAACAGAACCCCCTATGCACCCTTCTCCCTCCCACAAACATATCCACCTTGATCTTAGAGCAACTCCACCCATTTGCCCCTTGCCATGGCAAAGGGGGTGCTAGGGCAGCCACTATTCACATGAATAGTGGTTGCCCTTGCAAATAGTATATTTTGTGTTTCCACCCGTTGCCATGGCTAAGGGCAATTACTATTCATTTTTTTGTTTTTTACAAATTTTTTTACCTCAATAATTAATTTGGATAATATTTTCGGATAAGATTTTTGGTGTGGGAAGTGAAAAATATGACTAAGTATTTATTTTTAAAAAATCTGAATTTTTCTGGTTTTTTTTTCAATTTTTTTCAATTTTTTTTATTAAAAAATTGTTGCTGACGTCAGCAGCCCTCGTTTTGGACCTCAGGCTGAACTGGCCTTCGGGCCAGCCCGAGTTGCGTGGAACCCACTCCAGCCTGTGCTTGGGCTCACCGCTGGAAACCAATTTTTGGGAAAAACTCCCCCAGCCCGAGGCAAGGGGGCCTCGGTGGAACTGCTCTTATGTTTAGCTTTACTTGTTGTTTGGGGCATTTAGCCCCCCTCAATCATCAACAACAAAAAAAAACTCTACACACATGTCAAACTGTGATTGGCAAAAAAGTAGGAGTTTCTACTTCCAGAAAATGAGGCAAGTATTTTCCTTTTAAAATATAAATTGAGGATATGTTATTGGCACCCTAAGAACAATAATAATTCCCTGCTCCCTTACAAAAACATAAGAGAGAAATTACACCTAAATGAGTGCAAAATTATTTTTTTTGGAGTGGCCATAACAGTTCTTTAAATTAAAATGTACAAGTGATATTGGGAGAAAGAAAATTAAACCTAAGACTTTAGGTACATAGTAAATATTCTTAACCACTTGAGCTACAAATCTCTTGCGCTATTCTTTTCAATTAGACACCTCAAATTTTCTATGGTCTAGGTCCCGCCATGTTGTCCATCCGAGATTTGCAAGGTTTTCTAGCGGGTTCCTGTTTCCCTTTTTTCGGCCAAGGTGGCCGACGGAAAGAACTGTTGGTCCTTCTTCTCTTGGATTGCATAGGCATGCCACCACCAAGCCATTGATTGGCTTGAATGGAAAAAGTTGGATTGTTGTGTTCGCGTTTCTGACTTCTAACCAGCCGATTGATCGGCCAAGCAAGGAACCTCCTCTTGCCCTAGGTTCTTTCACTTCTTCGGGGTCGAGGATGGTTAGGTTTCGTATGGGTATTTTAGTATTTTTTGAGATTTAATGATAATGATGCAAATTAAATTAAAAGATGCGATTAAACTTAAAGACAAAAATTAAAGTGCAGTAAAGTAAATCAAAGCACTAGACAAACGTAAATTGAACAAAGAACAAAATAAGAATGATATGAACGATAAAGACAATAAAACAAAGCAATATGAAATTAAATTCAACTTAAAGCAAATTCGATAACAATTTAAAAGTAAAGCAATAAACTTGAATCTTAAAACAACGTAATGGAAAATGCAAGAAATAAAACTTACACTAACGAAAGTGAAGAACTGATCTAGTCTACTTGTTTGGAAAATAAAAACCTAGTCTAGGGATAGGTTTTTGTGTTTGATGTCCAAAGGGGCCTTTTGCTCTTTGTCTGATGAGGTTTATATAAAGGCATTCGTTAGCCCATGGTCTGGCCATTAAATGGCCAAAGGTCAACTTCATTCAAATCTTTCCTTGTGTGGCTTCCTAATTCTGCGGAATTGATTCGAATGAGATCATCAGATTGCAAATCTGATCACTTGATTCTCTCCTATTCAGGAATGTTTCAGATTGACATCACTCTCTTTGATTGCTTTCCTTGGATGGATCTCGTCACGTGCATGAAAACAGCTGGAGGTTTTGGGCCTACTTTCGCGGGTTGGGCTTGGACCTCCAAGGACTTGGGCTTAACATCTGGTGAGACGTTGTAGCTTCCGGAGTCTTTAGTCGTGACTAAAAGAAATTCACCGATGTTGGGGTGGCATGAGAGGCCAATGAATTGCGTGAGTTGTATGACCAACTTGTGATGAGCCCACAAAATCTTTGAATTAAGAAAACACTTAATATACCAATTTTGATAAAACTACATATATAATAATTAATGATTATATATGTAAGCCATGAAAAGCTTATTAATAACGCCCATGCCATAAGATTTCTTGTGTATATGCATATATTCTTGATATGAAAATCATCCAACTTGGCCATCCAATTTGGCCATTGTTTTTTGCTGGGGTGAGTTACTAGGCTACAAAGAACTTTTGAATTATTTTCATAAGGTGGGTTCTAGACACTACTTCTATCATTTTGAATTTAGAGCATTCTCAAGTCACAAAACCATTACCCAAAACCAAGGACCATCTTTGGCTTCCAAACTCTTGCCCATCTTGGAATTGTCAAAGTGACCTATATGGGTCTAACGTGACAACTCTTCCAACCAAGTCCTTGACTTGGTTTCAGCCAACTATTTGGCCATCCTCACAGCCAACTCTTTGGCCATCCTCACAGCCAACTCATCGACATGTTCTCCCAGCTAACTTTTAAAAGGCCATTCTTTTAGCCAACATATATTCTTCCAACAAGTATTTGACATGTGCTCCATTAATCAACCAACTTGAAAAAGCCATTCTTCCAGCCAAGTTCAAAACGTCATTTTGGTTTGTACTAATATATATTAGAAATAAGCAAATCTTTACTTCTATTTAATACTTTTATTGGGTCTTCAAATCTCCTTCAACAATCTCCTCTCACTCTTTCAAGAGCCTCAGCTGCCATGCCACTCTAATCCAACCACAAGATTTGTGTAATTTCTATATCCAAGAGATGGGTTGTGTCACAACCACAACATATCGAAGGTGGAGTTCAACAATGGCTTCCTCTACCTCAACCCCAATCTTCTCCTCTTTCTTTATTCCACTCTTATCTTTGTGTCATTTATTTATATGTCATTTCTTGCAGAAGACCTTGATTCTTGACTAGAATGTAGAAATCCAAGAAGACCAAAAGACTTGGC